TTTTAAACATTTTAATTTAGTTTTGAGGATGGAACAGCCAAGATGGACCATATAGGTCCCATGTTATCCCAAAATATTATGTTATATTAAGTTTGTAAAAAGTTTTGATAAATGACACTAATCGTTACTCTCTTTATGCATCTGAATGTAGTCTGTACATTAAGAAAAAAGTTTCATGTGAGCTTGGGCATCAGCAGGGGGGGGGGGCAAGGTCCCCTTCAGAAAATTAAAAACATAATTCTTTCTTTATTCACTCAACATATGTATAGGAATTTGTTATTCACTTCACAATTTCATACTACTTTGTCCCCCACCTCTCAGGAAATATTTCTGCATACACTCATGCATGTAAGTGGTGGAAATCTGTTGTCCTAAACGTTATTATGAAAATTTTGAAAATAATAATCAACTGCATTGATTTCTTAAACCTGTTTTTGTTTATTATAGGATACTGATTGCTCAACTGGTTGAAAAGAAATAATTTTTTACCAATACTGAAAAATGTCCAAAACAACAAAGAAGAAGCATGTAGCAAAGGAAGTTTTAGATACGTTAGTTGTTCCTGAGGGGGAACAACAAATTGTTCGAGTATGTGTCTTATGGTGCTTTTTTGAGGCATGTTTCAAAATGGCCATGTTGAGACAGATAACCCAATTATATTTATATTGTACTGTAATCAGACTTCTAATTATTAACAAGTTTTAATTGCATAGAAAATAATTGGTTAAAATATTTTTAAAATTATTACTGTTCTCTGTTATATCTTATTAGCAGTGGTTCTCAACTGTCAGTATGTGGACTATTACTGGTCCATAGGGAGATTTCTGTTAGTCTGAAGACAGTTAAAAAGAAAATGTATATCTTAAAATATAGCTACTGAAGTATATTGTTCTGCAATGTAATTTAAAAAGCACTCCTTATAATTTGGGGATCAGAACTAGCCAGTTTCCTGTTGGAAGAATGTTGGGAACCACTGATGTGTAGTTTTATTTAGAGAATATATTTTTATTTGAACAGTTGTGCCATACATTTTTATGCTATTATGTAATTATCATTTTGTGACATTGTTCATTATACAATGATTTTCAGGATCTTCATCTATTTATGTGATTACAACTCGAGCCAGTAGACTTTTCACATGTGTCTTCTCTTACTTTTGTAGTACCAACAATACGGGATCTGAATATATTGTTGATTCCTAATGTCTTAGTTTATCCACATCATAATGTTGCATTGTCTGCTTCTGAAGTGCATTTAATCTCTTGGAGGTAGTACAGCTCACTCTGGTTTAGCAGATGAATTGTATCTCTTCTGTTACATTCGATTAAATTAATTTGTCTTGCTGCTTTTACAAATTTGTTTTTGATGCATGTAGCTGCTATAATGAGAACTTTGTACTTTAAGCTTCTAGCACTAAAGTACCCTATTTATATGCCCAATGAATTTTTGACAGAGGCTGTTGTTTCAGGTTTGTACAATGAAAAGTACTAGCACTATTGTGATCCTGAGACTCACGAGGACCATATGGTCTAATCCAAATCTGTTATCCTATTTTCACTTCTCTAGGGTAATAGTTCCATTTTCTTATGATGGCATGTATCATGATGGTAATGCTCCAATTTCTCTGGCTCTTAAGTAATGAGACGAGTTTGTCTAGAAAAGTGTATAATCCTTTATTCTATAAATCAAATCAAATTCATGGCAGGAATTTAGGTTTAAAAATCTTTCAATCCTCAAAAAAGATTTTGGGGCCTGAAAGACAACTTGGGGTGGTCAGAAACTTTTACTTCTCTTCACACTGTATGGTAAAAAGGTTAATGCCAAATGAATTTTGATAGAGCCACTGGGCTTAGTTTAATTTTAACATGTAAAGTGGATTGTTAGAAGTTGCATGGAAACGAGGAAGATGTCGACCCAAGTGTACCGGGTGAGCCATGTAGAGACTGTCATTCTGTGGTCAGAACAGAACACGTGCATCTATTTGTCCATGTGGCAATGATCTCAGTTGGAGAGTGCAGTCGACGAAGATTAGAGCAGAGAGATGCTGACTGTGTGAGCACGATTCTGTTTGAATAGATTTCTGAAATATTTATCGATTTGAAGAAAAGAAAACTTTCTAAAGTCATAGAGATATTGTGATTAAATAATTAAAGAGTCTGATGTACTTGCTAGATTAACAGCCCTTTTCAGGGGGGCTGGGATAAAATAATCCTATGCCATAAGAAATATTGATGCATGGCGAAACCAGAGTGCCCAGAGAAAACCTGCTTTCATGGGTCAGGTGCCAAATAATGTACCTGACCTGTGCCCAAGATGTGAAACTGAAAAGGAAACAATTGATTAATACATGTATGCTAAACCCTGTTAATATATTTGAATGGAGATATGCATGTTTGCCATGTAGAAGGTGTGGCTGCTAGGATGTGAAAGGTGCTTGTTTGGCTGTTTCTATTTTGGTCTTTGTTGTAGTATTTTTGGGCTAGAATGTCAATGTAGACTTAATGAGAGGTAGGTCAGTGAGGTTGTTCACATAAATTTGTGTGTTGTATTTTGGGAGACTGAATGCTGTTTTGATAGCAGTGAGCTGTTGTTGTTGAACCTTTTTGTATAATATGTCAAGCATATTACATGTAATGGGGCATTCATATTCATAGAGAGGTCTGATGTAGGCTTTGTAAATTTTAATGATTGAGTGGATGTTAAAGCCTTTGTTCATACCCCCAGTTTGGTGGAGGAATGTCAATATAGTACTTGTTTTCTGAAGAATATTGTTGTATTGAGTGGTCTATGATAGGAGTGAGTTTACCATGATTCCTAAAAATTTGGCAGTTCTTTTAAAGGTGATGTTGTATAATGTTACTTTGATTTGTCTGATTTTTTGGTACTGTCTTTCTATTTTCATGTGAAATGCTATTGCCTGTGTCTTGATTGGATTGAGAAGTACTCTTCACTTGTTACACCATTTAATTAATTAATTTAATACGTCCTGTGCTCTGGATGCGGCAGTGAGTGGATCATGTGATGTGCTCCAGACAGCAATATCATGGGCATATTGAGAGATGAGGGTATATATTGGCTGTGTGAGTGGTATGTCATTTACAAATAGAATGTAGAGTAGTGGGCTGAGAACAGAGCCCTATGGAACTCCTGCTTTTAGTGGGAGTACATGCTGTTATTGATTTTAACTTTAGCAATTCTATTAGTGATAAAGCTATAGAGACATCTGGTGATGGGAATAGGTATCTTGTTTTTAGTTAATTTATACTTTAGGGCATTGTGTCAAACAATATTGAATGCTTGCTTTACATCTGAAAAGGCTGCGACTGTGAAGTGATTGCGGTTAAATCCTTAGTGTATAGATTCAACTAATCTTACTAGGTGATCGGTTGTCTGTCTGCATTTTCTGCTCACATTTTGGTTATTGTCGAGGATGTTATTGCTTTCTAAGTAATGTAGCAGTCTGTTGGATATGACTTTTTCATAAGTTTATCTAATGTGTTCAGAAAGCTTATAGGTCTGTAGCTGTTTGGTAGGCTGAGATCCAAGTCTTTTTTGGGGATAACTTTTATTATCACGGACTTCCAAATTGACAGATAGTATCCAGAGGATAAGGATATATTGTATAGGAAGGTTAGGTGCTTTAGTATATTATCATATTGTATAGGGAGGTTAGGTGCTTTAGTATGTTATCATATTGTATAGGGAGGCTAGGTGCTTTAGTATGTTATCATATTGTATAGGGAGGCAAGGTATTTTAGTGTGTTTTCACCAAAGTTTTTGATGATTATGTTGTTGATGCCGTCTTCACCTGGAGCTGCACATTTGAGTGTGTAAGGATGATTTTTATTTCAGTTAGAGAGAGATGGGGTACGTGTAGTATTCACGATGTTCGTGTAACATGGATAGATCAACTGGGAATGGCAAGTTAAAAGAAGTGTGATTGGTGTTAATGTGATTATTGATAGTGTTAAAGTGTTGGCTATCGAAAGTAGAGTGGTTTCATTGGTGAAAGTGTCAGTATAGAAATGTGGGAACAGGTTGGCTTTTTCATCATCATTGTGTGGTGTGGAATATTGTTAGTTATATTAGTGTTTATATTGTTTGTAGTGTTGCAGACCTTTTTATACTTTCAACAGAAAAGTGCTGGGTTCGATTTGGATTCATATATAAATTGACAGAATGTGTCGCTGCTGGATTTTAGTTAGCCTTTTAACTTGATTGTTTGTGTTGTGTACAAGATTTTTAAGTCACAAGTTCTGATAAGTTGGTGGTGAAGCCTTCTTCTTTTATGGATTAGGGGGTTTATTTCTGGTGTGAATTTCCATGAATTTAAATTAGGAGTGATAGCTTTGCTAGAAACTGTGTTGTTGATCGCATTAAAGATAGTGTTGGTGAGCAGGGAGGTGTGATTTTCTATTTCTTGGGTGTTTAAGGCTGATGTTATAATTTCTGTTTAAGGAATCAAAATGTGAGAAATCTTGTATTATTTGAGTACGATTGGAAGAGTGGCAGGAATTGTGAAAGAAATGGGATCGTGGTTGTTGTGGATGTTGTGTACCTGAAAGTTAATTGCATGAGGGAAGGGGATACTATTGCTAAGTCTAATATATCTTGAGTCCTCTTTGAATTGGTGAGTTTCATGCTATTATTGTTAATGACTAGGTAGTTGTTGTCTGTTTGTAGGTGATGTAGTGCTCATCCATTCCTGTTGGTGGATATGCAGTTGAAATCAGTGTGTTTTGAATTAAGATCACCGGTTAGTATTAAGTTCGGGTAGTTAATAATGATCGACTAATCCAATTATCAATCTGTATATAAGGGTAATCCTGGTGTTTCCTTCAGCCCTTCATGCTACCTGTCACTGTGTCTTGCTCCCCAGTAAGGGAGCTCTGTATCACTCAGTTTTGATAACCTGAGGATTATATGTATCTGTGTAAGTAGAAGTAATTTAACCTCTTACACACAAAAAACACAACAGTTTTAAAATTAGAATAGGTTTTAAATAGAAGTCTCTATATGTACTTGCTGTCCTTCCTTGCCTCTAGTTTTAAGTCCCAGAAACTTGATAGGTTTTGAGAACAAGCAAGTACTATAGATTTTATTTAGATGTCCCATTTCCTCAAAGGAGAGTTTATTGATGATGTCACAAATAGTAGACAGGAAACTAAAGGAAAAGGATTAGTGTGGTGGGTCTATGTACAGAAAGTTGCGTGTACACACTGGCCTAGGTATTTGAATTTTTTCAGTTATTTAATTATTAAATAAAAAAGAACCAAAAATCATAAACAATTTGAATTTTTGTAGTATAGTGTTTTTAACTTAAAAAAATAGATTTGTTAAGATTTTTGTGATACATTAGATTGTATGCCAAAAAAAAGTTTTCATGAACTTACAAGGCTACCTGTTTAGCACAGGTGGAGAAAGCAGTAATTTTTTTGCATATGATAATTATAAGAGGATCAGGGGGTATGACCCCCCCAAAAAATGTGACATTTATTGACTTCAGGTAGCAATTTCTAGAAAATACATGGTAAAATATGGACATGTAGTGTACAACAGCCGTACTATATTTATGCTGTTATCCAAGAGATATGTTAATATAACACCTGTAATTGAGTTTTCTAGTAATTCTAGATTGTAAAATAGGATAAAGTTAAGGAAGTGTTAAATTTGATGATTTATTAAAGTTGAAATTACAGTTGAAGTTATGCAAGCAGTCTTGAGGTTTTAATCTTTATGAAGTCAGTTATTAAATAAATGTTTTATTGTGTTTTGAGACTGGGAATAGTCTCATTTTTCATTGTGTACCAATACATGCTGGTTTCTTTCAATAACTATGGTATTATGGTTTTTTAAGTTAACAGTGATTATAAGAAAGTAAAAACACATGCAATGAAGTATATTTTAGTTTAGTGTCTTATTTAAGCACTTTGGCACAGCATCCTTGATGTAGTTAACTACTGTCAGTGCTATTTTTTCAACTGCAATGTGTGCTACCTTTATAAAGGAATGTAAAATTACATCTTACCTGTAATGTCATAATGATGATTTATTTGTTTAGGTAATATGTGGTAAAGGCAATAATCTTCATGAAGTAGAATCAGACGTAGGAGAAAAATTCCTTGTCAGCATGCCAACCAAATTCCGCAAGAATGTGTGGATTAAAAGAGGTAATCAAATCTGTGGTTTGTAAAATGTAGTATAAAAAAAAAAGTCTTTATGCTAAACTTGGTGTTATGTTTTAACCCTTTATGTACTTTATAATTGATACATGAGTATTTTCTTTTATAAACATCATTAAAGGTCACTGGGGCTTTTGTTTGGCAACAAAGTTTTAATAGCAGTTTTGTAACTATCCATAAAAGACTAGTTAAGAGTAATATCTGTATGAAGATAAAGAATTAAGAAGTTACAGCTGTTCTATTAGGTTTTGTTTGTTGAAACTGTGATACTATTTTTGTTTTAGGTGACTTTGTGATAGTGGAACCAATAGAAGAAGGAGATAAAGTGAAAGCAGAAATCGTTCATATCTTGTATAAGGATCAGATCAAACATATTAAAAGTGAAGGCAAATGGTGAGCTTTGTCAGTTGCCTGTGGATAAGATGTACAAACAAAAAGCACTAATTTACACTGAAATAGGGCTCAAGTGGCTAGTGTAGCTGGTACAAGTACTTTTAGATGCTTCTCACAGACTTTTTCCATTATTCAAAAGTAGAATCAAATCAAGTTTGCATTATGAACTTTAAGATATTAAAATACTTGTTGTTTCATAATGAGCACAAGACGTCAGCATGAAAGGTGCTTTTTGAAACATTATGAGGTGAAAAATCTCATTCAGTGATATACAAACACACTTGAAGTTATTTCTGCAATTGGATTATTTACAATATTCTATGATACCTTTATTATAAGAATATTTCAGTGTTTAAAATACTGTTTGCCAAATTGGCAATCATATCTGGAAGATACAAATGTTTGTTTTTAAGAATTTCAGTTGGGGGATTTTTTCATGTGAAAATGCAGGTTGAAATAATTTCTAATAGAAACTTTTTGTTAATTGCCTTCATCACGACATCAAAATTTTAATGTAACTAACCTATGTGTTGGACACCAAGTGGGGATAGCATGGGTGAAAGACCGTACCATGTGAAAGTACAGATCATAAAATGGCTTCAATTTGGTTATAATTAAATTACTTGAAGAATGCAAGGAAAATGAATAGAATAAAATAGGAAAGATAAAGTAGCGGTGAATATTGTACATTCAGTTACAGTTGATGAATCAGTGTTTGGTCAGCCGACCCCAAAGTTAACGGAACTGGCATTTTGTAAACACTTTTGATGGATAAAAATATTCATTTCGAACTGTACTACATAGCTTGTGATGCCACAAATACACTTATTTAAAGACAAGGTATTTTTATTTAGTTTAGAATTCATCTGTAATTATTTTTGTAAGGAATAAATTTAGCCCTATATTTTAACTTTTTAAAGATAATTTTGTCATATTGTTTTTACAGTTTGATGCACTAACTTTATTAATGACAGAGATGAAGATACCACATATTCTATGTAAGAGCTGAAGGTTATTCTTGAACATAAAATGAATTCACATTCAGTGCACTTGCTGTTAATGAAGACAGGATTTTATTAATATTTTATAATTATTCACTGGTTTGTTGTTTTCCTAAGACTTACAATATTTTTTGCCAAATTTTAATATAACAGTTAAGGCAAAAACGGGGGAATTCTGTTTTTGTTTTTAGCTATAATTCATATAGGCTCGGCATGGCCAGGTGGTTAGGGCGCTCGACTCGCAATCTGAGGGTCGCGGTGTCGAATCCCCGTCCCACCAAACATGCTCGTCCTTTCAGCTGTGGGGGCGTTATAACGTGATGGTCAATCCCATTATTCCTTGGTAAAAGAGTAGCCCAAGAGTTGGCGCTGGGTGGTGATGACTAGCTGCCTTCCCTCTAGTCTTACACTGCTAAATTAGGGATGGCTAGCGCAAATAGCCCTCGTGTAGCTTTGCACGAAATTCAAAAAACAAACAATAATTCGTATAATACTTTTATTGAATATTTATTTCATCTTTTAATTATTAGATTTTCAGAAAATGAGAAGTAAAAAGATTTTTTGAAATATTGATTATTGATTTCTTCATATTTTAACATTTCTTTTTCTAATGCTTAGGCCTGTTGAATTTGAGGAGACCAAAATTCTGGAAAATAATTGTTGTGATGATCCAAATGCAGCTTTAGACAGTGATGAAGATAATGACAGTGATTTATTTGTAAACAGAAATAGGCCAGATATTAGTTACAATGATGACTCTGATACATCCTCAGAATCAGAAGATGAAAGCTGTGAATAAAAATACCTCTATGACTTTGATATTTTTATTTTCTTAAGGATATATTTTGCAAAATACATTTCCTTGTGGTTGTACCTCTTTTTTTTTTGCAGTTATTAAAATTTTTTAATATCAACATTACGAGTTGCAAAAGTATTAGATATTCCAATAAGAACTGACTTTTTTAAGAATTTACTAAATAACTAAATCAATAAAATATTGTTTAGAGAAATTTAATTTTCTGTAAGCTATTTGTTAAAGATTTCATTGAACTTCAAAATGAAACTCTTTACAAAAAAACTTCTAGAAACAATGCTAAATATTGAAACTAATGCAGTGTCTCTAGCGGCCACTTCAGAGATTTGTGGAAGGAGTATTTCCGTGCATATGATTCATACTTGTCTAGTTGATATTCTTTATGGGAAGCCAACCAACCTAAATTCAACAAACAAACAAATAATCATCATATATTAAGTAAACTTTAAATTGAAAAATAATTGTCCCAAACATCTTGGCATAAGATGGTGATTTTTGTCTAGTGACTTAAAATAAGCCAACCAACCTATTTTTCCAGCTGAATTCTTTGGCAGGGGAGGGTATTTCATTATTTTCGGAGTAGCTTCTAGAGTAGTGGGTACTGTTGAAGAGATTACTGAAGAACAATCATAAAACACAACTTCACAGTCACTTGCTGTCGTACTCTGTGGTTTGCCTACAGTCTTGAGTTTTTCTTTGAGCTGTCCATGAATATTTAAAATAGTGGGTTCTAAATTTTAAATTAATAATTGATTACAGAAAATTAAATTATTTGATAATATTTTCTACCACTAACCCAGCTGATGGCTAAATATATAAAAACTTGTGTAAAGAATCTGTTTTATTGCAAGAAATCACGTAACTTGACCAATTGGAACATTTAATGTTGATGGTTTCGTTAAATACATACATTATAATGTTTTGATAACGCTTGCTCCATATATACAAATGTTGTTTCCTTTTAAAATTTTGTTAGGCAATGTTTGTTTTGTTTTTATTAAAGGAGAGAGTCTGCTTTGCATAATTTGTCCAGGATCAGTTTTGGGCACTCTTGTATTATATATATGGCAAATGTGTTGAAAAATTGAATCTTGAGCCAATAGCAAATGCAAACTTGCTACATTTGTACTCATCAGTTACTCCAGGCAAGACAGTCTCTTCTTTATTTGTGGACAATGAGCACCAGTTGATTTTTGTAATACAAGCTAAACAATTAATGTATTTCATTAGCGAGAGAGAGAGAGAATTTAAGGATTTTTTTTTCAAAAAATAATTTAAAAATTGTTTTTTCACTTTTTAATTTTTGATCTTTAATTACCTGTTTCTTCTTAGTTAGTTTTAAATTAATATGATCATGTAGATGATTTTAGTTTAAGTCAAAAATTGATATTATTCCAAAGTTTATGCTCAAAAATATAAAACAATCAAACATTCAATAAAGAAACTAAACCAGTCTAAGTAAAAGTATTTATGATTAATGCCTATTATACTTAGTTTTATTCTGACACATGATTCATAAATGTCAAATTAGTAACTAAACCAGTGTAAGTATTTATGATTAATTCCTATTATATTTAGTTGTATTCTGACACATGATTCATAAGTGACAGATTAGTAACTAAACCAATGTAAGTAAAAATGATTAATGCCTATTATACTTAGTTGTATTCTGACACATGATTCATAAATGTCAGATTAGTAACTAAACCAGTGTAAGTATTTATGATTAATGCCTATTATACTTAGTTGTATTCTGACACATGATTCATAAATGTCAGATTAGTAACTAAACCAGTGTAAGTATTTATGATTAATGCCTATTATACTTAGTTGTATTCTGAC